TTTTTATTTTAATATGTTTTAATTTTTAATTATTTATATTTTTAAGCATGAAAAAGTACTGGCAATGAGTCAATTGCAAAGTGATATATTAAAGAAATGAAAAAGAGAAGAAATTAAATGATCTAAACAACAATGTAAACGAGTTCATATTGCTACTTCAATACAACCACATAATGATGAAGAGGAACAAGATTTTTTTTCAATTGATATAAGTGATAATGAAGATGAAGAAAAGTATACATCAATGTTCATTAAAAGAGATGATAATAATAATAACATCAATGAGATTTTTAATGTAAATAATTGGTTACAAATAGTAGAAAATTGGATTAAAATGTTGGATGTTGAAAATCATTTAGATAATGGCAAAGATATTAATGAAGAATTACTTGAGTTTGAATTGGGTGATCGTATTACTCATTCAGCTATTAGCAAAATGGAATTTATTAAATCTATTCAATGATTCGTTGGAAGCTCCAATTTATCTTGATTCTTTAATAAATTATTAAATAATTTTGATATAAAATATAAATAATAAAGTCAATACTTATAATAAAGTTGCTATAACAAATAAATTTACTATTGATTTTTTTTTTATTATATTATTATTAAATGATTTAAGTCACAGGTCATTTGGTTTTTAAAATGACCCAATGACCAGTGACCAGTCATCGAAGTCATTTGGATCATCTCAGGTCACTTACTATCACTGATTTTACGTATATTTATTTTACTTATATTTTATTTTGCTAAATTAATTAGTTTATAGTATAGTAATTAGTTAGCCGTAACAAAAGAAATTTTGTATAAATAGATAGACTTTTTGTTTACGTTGTAAATTAACTCTTTTATGATTAACAATTGAGTTTCAATATTAATAAAGGAATCATTTAAAACTTATATCTTTCTGCCTCTTCGTGTCTTCATATATTTTGACGTGATCCCTACACATTATTTGTAATTGAGTTCGTCATCTGAATTCTTTAATTAAATTGTTTATAATTTGTCTTTCAAGTCTTCATATTTGATAGATTTGTTTAAGTTTAACGTGTAAATCTGGTAAAGTTAAGAGTTAAGCAGATCCTAACGTCTTAACCAAAGTAGACCACAGTTAGAAAATTTTGAGTAGAGACTTGATAACGTGATCACCCGAGTTGAAGAATTCCACGATGACAATATACAATATATTTATTTTATTTTTTTATAATTAAATTTAAAAATAAAATCTTTATTTTAATTATTTGTTTAGATTTATAATATTTAATAATCTTTTTTAGTAAAATCATTTTATTTTATCATTAATCTCAATTTTTTAAAATTTTAATAATTTTATAAATTAATAAACTTAGAATAATAAATAATAAATTTGATTATTATTTTTATAATTGAATTATTTCTTAATTTAAAAAAAAAAACTATTTAAATGATTTATTTAACTATTATAATTTGTTAAAATTACTTTATTAATAATATTTATTATTTATTAAAAAGATTATAAAAGTATATAAAATATAAAAAAAAATTAACAATTTTTTTAAAATCTTTTAATTTTAAAACTAGATTAGTAAGTATTAAAATAACTTATTTAAATATTTAGAAATAAAAAGTTCTTTTAACAACTAATTAATATTTATAAATTTATCTAAAATAGCTTTTTAGTTATCTTTATAATACTATAGAATGTTAATTTAAAATAATAATTTGTTATATAAAAATAGATTTTATGTATAAAATAAAATAAGTTTATTTTACTTTTAGTAAATTATAAAAATTAAATTGTAATAAAATCCTATTAAATTGTATACTAAAATTTTTATGATTCAAAAAAATCTTTATATTTAATTATTTTTATTTTATAAGATGTTATAAATATTATAATTTTATTTTAATAATTTAAAGTATAAGTATTTTTTATTAATATATATTTAAAAAGTATTTACTAAGATCAAATTGGAATATTTTTTTTAATTAAAATTATATATTAAGAAATTTTTGAATTTAAAATACAAATTATACAATAAATATGATTTAAATACATAATTAAAGAATTAAAACTTTTTAAGTATAGCAAGCCATAGGAATACACAAATGGTAATAAATTATAAAGTTTAACCAACACCCATTGAGTTATCTCCAAATAAATTTGACTTCGGGTTCAGCACTTAGGATTTCATCTAGTTCGCGGGCACTACAACCTTCCACCGTACAAATCTCATCATAATGATGTTTACCATTAAGCAACCTTTAATGAGTACAATATCGTTAAAATAAATAAAGTATTTATAAATTAATAAATTCTTAATTTTTACCTTCGTAATTTAGACGGTAATTTGCTTTGCTGATTGTGTGGCTCGGGTAACACTGGATATTTATGAACTCGATATAAAAATCCTTTAATTACACCAAAGGATATGAAACGTCTGAACGAAGTTTCCAAGAATTCTCAAAGTTAGTAGTTAATAACAAGTTCTAACTTCGTAAAGTAATTCTATACCTTATGTCTATATTTAGAGACGCGACTTGATTCTCTTGTACCCATTCTTTGAGAGTAAATCCATGTTTCAATAGACAATACAGAGAAAATAATTTGGCAAATGAAGGTGACATTGTACCTATCAAATCAATAAATAAAATAAGCATTTTACTAAACTTGGAAGAGTATCAACCCCTCATACTTACCTGGTTTTCTAACGTAAGATGAACATTCACTCTGAATTGCTTCATCCTCAATTATTCTAGTAATATCTGGTTTTACGGCATACACATTTGAAAACTAATAAAGATCGAATAAATAAATAATTTTTAAAAATAACGCGTTTACATTTAATATACCTGAAAAATATCAACCATGATAACACATCCATAGTATCTAAAATAAAAAATTAAAAAATAAAATCAGAATCAAACAATGATATCATTTCTTCTAAACACATACAACAAATGTTCCATGCATTTCCTAGCAAGTCCATAATCCACATCCGCCAATTCTGCTATTTTTTTAACATGATGTATGCCATTAATACGCGATGCTATCTAAATAAAAAAGAAGTTAATAATAATTACTGATAAATTATCTTAAAGCATCTCAACCGACCTTTTTCATCGTAATATCCCAGTTTTCGTCCATCAACAATTCAAGGTTAACCGTGCAAATTGGTACGTGATAATCATAAACTGGTGGAGGATTACGATAAGTTGGAAATAATTTTAAATTAATTGTATTTGCAGAATCTATTTATTTAATAATGATTAATTAGATTAACTTTTCAAAATGAAAGACTAACGAAAATAATAAAGTAATATTTTTACTAACTTATTGGAATTTGGCATTCACAGTAACTATTAAGATCCTCAAGAAGTTGTTCAATAATATTATACATATAATACTTCGTGGATTCATTTGATAAAAACTCGCTTTCAATCTTTTATTGGATCGATTGTTATTGAATTATGATATTATATATATTAAAAATAATAAAATTGTCGCGTAAAAATGTACACAACTTACTTCTAAAGAAGTTAGAACTCTCGCAACCTTCCTCACAACCGGCTCATAACTCGAAGTATCGGCGCCACGATCAAATACAAAACTCAAATTAAACATAAAAAAATTTCTATCATATTTTTTTTCTCTTATAATCACCGGAAAACCCATAACTTTATAAGAATCAGTACATATGTTAACCAAATGTCCACATAATGGTGGTTTTGGTATAATATACTCTGAAATTGAATCAAAATCTATGATTGGTGTTGAATTTTCTGTAGGTATTATAGAACCTTCTGGTACTTCAAATACTACTTTTGGCCCGGTTTTTGGATCAAATGCCGAATAAAATACCGAAACTAAACGCGGAGGGATTCCAGCTTGAAACTCACTTTCTTGTTGAGCGTAATCTTGCATATTATCTAATTAAGGTCGAAAAATGAATTGCAAAAATGATCGGCTGATTTATTAAAAAGGAATTTGAAATTTACATTATATACATATTATTTTTAGTATGCGTGAGATACAAAAAATTAAATATTTATAAATTAGACTTTTTAATAATTTAAACTTTTATATATAAATTAAACTTCTTATAATATGTGAATTCTATTTTATATAATAAAAAAATAAATAATACAGATTCTTTGTATAGTAACAATTCTAATACAAAATATTTTTTGAAGACTTACTTGACAAACTTCTAGAGAATATGACTACAATAATAAAGAAGATTATTTAAAAAATTCAGAAAATAATTCTGATTCAAGTTTTTTGCTTTTGATATTGAAAGTTAATGTAATATTTTTTATCAAGAAGTCTACTTTTAATTGCATTAAATAGTAGTTACTCTAATAAGGCTTTTTATTTGAAAAGTAAGATCAGAAAAATTGCAAAATAAATGTAAGTAACAAATAATTTATGTAGTTCTTAAGAAATAAATATTAATTAAATAAGAAAAATCAAACCAGATTTTTGAAATCATAAAGAATTAATTACAAATAGCATGTTAACTTTCCTATTCAATTAAAAATAATTTTAGTAAAATTATTTTTATTATTACACTATTTATTTAATAAATATTTTAAATACAGTTTGAATATTACTTTATGTTAGTTTAAAATGAATAAGACCTATTTTAATTGATATTGAATAGATGTACTTCTATTTATTTAAAGTCATTATTTATTAAATGAATATTGAAAGCTAAATATAATAAAAGATCAACAATTAAGATTTTTATATAAATTATTAATTTAATTCATAATTAGATAATAATATATCATAGTTATTTAAATATATTGAAAATTTAAAGAGAAGTTATTTAATAGATAATTATAAAGATTGATATTATAAAAATAATACTTTAATCAAAATCTTTTAATTAATGAGAAACTTAAATTTATTATTATAATATAATTTTCAATAATAATACTATAAAAACTAATATATATTATTTATCTTTATTTTTTATAATAGTTGATAAAAATATAAAATCTTAAATTATAATATAAATATTAATAAATTAAAAAATAAAAGATATTTATACTTAATTATTTTATATATATTAGATGCTACAAAAATTCTTTCAAAAGTTTTTATAACAGACCTCTTAAATAGTCATATCCCTTAAGATTAAAAAATTTTGAAGTAATTATAAAAAAGTTATATACTGTGACTATAGAAGAGAATTTTTAATAAATTTGTTATTAATTTTAGCTTAATAAAATATACTTATAAAAGAGAAGTGACTATATAGAAGATGATATATAGAGGTAATTATATAGAGAGTTAGTTATATATTGTATTTAATATATTAGTTAAAATCTCTTTTTATACTTAAAATCAAAGCTTAATAGATCATTTAAATAATTTAAAAAAGATTTTTATAAATATAATAATAGTTTAGATCAGATAATATTAAATAAAAATTACTAGTATTATATGATAAATATTCTAATTATCTTAAACAAAATCTTTGTTCTTTTAAAGTTATGTTAATATTACTTTTTATATAATTTATATACTACATTATTAATATATTTTTTATAGTTAAAAAAAGATTATAGTAATAATAATTATTTAATTCTGCTTTAACTTCTTTTTTTTAACTTCTAACGCTACTGCTTGAATTAATAAGATACTTTTGAATATTTAGTTTAAAATACTTATTTCAAATATCTTTACAAATATAAATATAAATTTATATTACATAAATTTATAAAGTATATTATAATAAAATAAAGATATTTTTTGAATATGATACAAAATCATTAATCTTATAATTATAAACATTATTATATTAATTTAATATATAAAATTCTTATATTATTTTTTTATAATTAGTTATTTGCTAATAATTTTATTAAAAATAAAAAATCCAGCAAATTATATTTTAATAACTTTTAATGTTATATAATCAAATATTTATTAAAAATTTTGAGATATTAATCATAATTACATCATTTAAAATAAATTAATTTATTATTTTATTAAATACTAAAATATAAATATTATTTTAATATAATATTTAATATTACAAATATTACATACTTAATTTATATAAATTCTTAATTTGTGTTAATTTAAATTAACTTATTTAAATTTTAAAAATTGCTTATTTTACTATTTAAAATTCATGACAATTTTGATATTATACATATAAAATCTAATAATATTAATTTATTTAATTTTATAATTGATAATTTTATTTTAAATAATAATAATTAATATATTTTTTTAATAAATAATATTTTTATTATATAAGTTTATAGGAATTAATTAACAAGTTAATTAAATTGCTTATAAAACTTATAATGAAAAATTTATTATTTTGCTTTAAAAGTATATATAAATAATAAGAATTATAAGACTTTAAATAATCAAATTATTATAGATTAATAAAAGTTGATCAAAAAAATATTGATCAAATTAAAAATTTTTTAATCAGATATCTTAAAGAAAGATTAATAGGAATTATAAAATTTAAAAATTTTTTAAATTTTAATTAGATATAATTTACTAGTAATCAAATTTAGAATAGATGCAATTTATGTAATAATATTTTAAGTATAATTGTAATATGTATTTATTAAATTCTAATTGATAAAGAGAAGATAAAGATAGTTTAATAATCTAATAATTTAAAATCGCAAAAGTTAATCATCACGTGAGCGGATAATTATTACTATAAATTAAGTTAACTTACTTGAATTATAGTAGTAATTTAGTCTAAATAATTTTCAGTTAAAAGATAAGTATTGCAATTAAAAAGTTAATATAATTAAATTATAATTTATAATATAATTAAATTTATTTAAAGTGTAATTAAGTTATAATTCAATTGAAATTTAAAAGTAATTATGAAAATTATTTTTACTTTAATTACTAAAATTATTAAGTATTCTAAATATGCTAATTTCACTCAAAAAAGTTCTTTAATATATTTATGTTATATATCATTATAAAAATTATAAAGAATTTATTATTTTATTATATTCTATATAGTTATATATAAAATTTAATATGTATGATTTATTTTTAATAAATAAATATTAATTTAATAATTTAATATTAGATTTATATTATAATAAATCTGATAAATAATATTATTTAAAATAATAAAAATAATTATTATTATCTATTTTATCTAAATAATTATTTTTATATATATATTATTTAGTATTTTTTTCTTATTAACATATTTAAAAATACTGAATAAATAAATTTTTTTTAAATAACCTAAATCAAAATTGTTAAAGTTAATAAAATCTCTAAATTTTTGTTGAATTTGTTTAATTTTTGCTAAATTATTTTTATGTCTGATTTGTTATATTTTGAAAAGTATTATTTAAAATCTTAAAATCCAAAATCTCAAAAAGTCAAAATCTCAAAATCTAAAATCTTGAATAATACAAAATCTTAAAATCTAAAGTTTTGAATGATAAAAAATCCTAAATTGTCTTTTAAAAATTTTTCATGTGTAACTAAGCTTACTTTCTGATTAAGGCACATACTACAGTATAACATTACCAAAATTATTAATATGCATATCACATAATTTTATTAAAAATTTTTTTATTACAAAATCATTAAAATTGCAATTTATCTTATTAATGGTTTAATATTTACTTATATAATAAATAAAAAAATTTTCAGCAGAATTATTTTTAGATAACTTGAGTCTCTCTTATAACATATATTGCTAATTCAAAATAATTTCTTACAGTTCATTTGCGACTTACTAATTTAAAGTAATTTTTATGACTATTCAGAATTTGAATTTTGAGATTTTGAAATTTGAGATTTTGAACTTTTGACATATAAAGTTTTGAGATTTTAGCTTTTTGAGATTTTAAATTTCGAGATTTTGTAGCATATCTATTATGACTAATGTCTAATTTCTATAAATTTTTTATTTAAATTTTTTTAATATTTTTTTTAATATTATATAAAAATAGCATTAAAAAAATATTAATAATTTTCAATTTATATATTGTTATTTTATTTTAATTAGTTAGTTAAATTGTGAAATTTAAGCTATAAATAACAAAATAATTTATAAGTTAGTAATATTTGAGAAAGTTAATTACTTTTAAATAATAATTTAATTTTAATAAAAAATTAGTTTTAATACTAATGTATACTTTTATTTAGATTACTAAAAATAATTTACTTTAATTAAAATATTTTAATTATTATTAATTATAAAAATAAATTTATAAATTAGTATTGAAGCTTTGTATAAATTAAGTTAAACAAGTCAGCTTATTTAGAATTAATTTAAATCATTAAAAATAGTAATAAACCAATTTATATCATAAGTTAAATCATGATATAAGCTTATTTATTTAGTTTGAATTTTTTAAAATCTGAAAAAATTCTTTTCATAAGTAGTTTTTTTTAAGTGAACTAGTTTTAAAGATTTTTTTTTAAGTTGATAATGATTTTTTTAAAGAAAAATGACTTTAGAGATATTTTTTTTTTTTTTAAGAAAAATAATTCTAGTAACTTTAGTAATATTTTGTATATAAAATAATTTATATTAAACTAAGAAATAATTAATCAGATTAAAATTAATCAACTCATTAGCATTTATTAGTAAAAGGATAATTTTTTATATTTTTGTATACAAATAATTAATTATTTTGCTTATAGTAGGATTTTTCTGTTAATTCACCTTTATTTTTAACATGATCAATATAATACCAGGTATATACCATTTTTTTATTTGACTTATTTGACAAATAATCTGTAAAATCTAATCTTTAATTTATATTAATTGAATAATATTATTCTTAATAAAGAAACAAATAAGAAATCCTAATATTTTAATAATAGGTAAAATTTATCTGTGATATTATTTGTAATTTAAATGAAAAGTTAACTTTACTGATATTTTTAGAATGCTGCAAATAATACAGTATATATATATTTAAATTACAGGCTATTTACCACATTTTAAATAATAACTTTAAAGCCGGATTTTCAAAAAAAATAAAGCTTTCTTTTTTTGATAAATTTAGAAATTTCTAAAGTCTAATCGCTTATCTATGAATAATTTTCATGGGTCCGATAAGTTGGGACCGGGACCTTAGGACCCGGTTCTAAATTTATTCTTTAAAGAAAATATAATAAATATCTTCTCGGAACTTAACATCCCTAAAGAAATCTAAGAAATTGTTTTCATACAAGTAAAAAATATCACTGCTTTATTATATGATTTGAAAGAATTATTTGTTATCAATGAGAAGCTATGAACTTTCCTTCACAACGCTGAAAAATCCTCATGAAGTTTTTTTTTCCCCCTTAATAAACTATAAAAGAAACGTTTTTATTATCGGAGTTGACCCACCGTTTTTCTCAATTAATGAATTTTGAGTTACGTATGACGAGAATCCGAATCGACCACATGACCGGATTTATCAAAAGATTATCTAATATTTAGATGTTGGAACAATTAAGTGTGACAGAAAATTTCGTGGGAAATAAATACTTTTAAAGTAAAACAAGAAGCAAAAACAGGGATTGCTTCAGCTAATTTTGTTTTAATTGCATATTTAATAGGTATCATTTCATGATCAGTTGATTTTTATCATTGTATCTCAAAGATATCTTTGGTATTTCATTGTTTTTTAATACGGAAATATCAAACAGCCAATAGATTTTCTCTCAAATCCCTTCTATATAAACGCATAAATATCATGTCTTTCAAGAGTCATGATAACGCAAACGATATTTCAATTTTTGATGCTTATTCAATGTTACCAAAGAGGATTAATGACCCCATTCATGTAATATTATAAAAAAATTTCATTTTAGAAAATTCTTTTTTCAAAGCAAACCATTCTTTTTTATGAAATGTTAACCTTTAATAAATAGGGATTAATGGAGTTCGATGATTGGACGCTCAGTTTTATCGACACTCCACATTTTCAAAGGTTACGTAATATCAAACAATTAGGAACCACTTATTACGTGTTTCCTGGTGCCAGCCACAATAGGTTCGAACATTGTTTAGGTAACAAAATTAACAAAATTTACAAAATTTAGGCGATACTTTCGGCCAAAATTATATGATTTCAATTAATTTTGCCTAAATCATTAATTGAATAATAGGTACTGCTTATCTTGCTAACACGCTGGTGAAAAGAATCCAAGTTACGCAACCTAATTACAAAGTCGAGAAAGATTTAGAATGTGTGACATTAGCTGCCTTGTGTCATGATCTGGGTAAGTTTAATATCATGTTCTTGAAAGGTTCTCTCGTTTGATCTAACATTGTTGTTACATTTATAGGACATGGGCCTTTTAGTCACACCTTTGATAATACATTTATTCCAAAAGCGAGGTTGTTAAAAAGATTTATTTAGTAAACCAAATCATACTCTCTCTTATAATCTAAAATATTGATGCGTATGTTCCCTTTTTACATAAAGGAAAGGTTTCAAATGGAGACATGAAGATGCCTCCCTAATGATGTTTGATCATCTTTGGGAAAATCATTGTAAAGATACAATCGATTTAGATACAGATGATGTTAAATTCATTAAATCCTTAATTACTGGAAATGTTTGGTAAATTTATAATTATTTTACTGCTACCTGATGATTATCATAAATCAATTGATTAAATAAATATCTATCAATAGTTCAGGTCGATCTCGGTATCTATTCGATATAGTGGCTAATAATACGAACTCGATCGATGTCGATAAATTTGATTATTTGAATCGCGATTGTTACTATCTCGGGATGAAATCTGTATTCGATTTCTCAAGACTCATGAGATTTTCGCGTGTAATCGATGATCAAATTGCGTATTATTTTAAGGAGAGTTATAGTATTTACGAATTATTTCATACGCGGTATTCTTTATACAAAAAGGTTTATTATCATCGCGTTGGTAAATAATTTTTTTATCACAGCTTTGTTTTTAAATTTTTGTTGTTATAATGTTTAAGTAAAATTATGTAAAACGTTAGGAAAAGCCATAGAATATATGTTATGTGATGCTATGGCTGAAGCAGATCCAATTCTCGAAATATCAAAAGCTGTCGATGATCCAGAAAAATATCTGAAATTGGATGATACAATCTTAAATCAAATTGAATTTTCGACAGATCCAGTAAGTCATTAGAATGATTTGTAAGTTATAAAGATAATGAAAATTTATTAATTTGATCATTTTAGAGGTTGGAAAAATCTCGAAAATTAATCAAGCGAATTCGAACTAGAGATCTCTATAGATTTGTTGATGAATATATAATCCCTCTAAAGTTGAAAGATCACCTGACCGAGGTAAAAAAGTTATTACATATCATCATTAGAAATTTGAGAACTTAAATGTAAAATGAGTTACTTTTATTTATGCAAAAGACAAAAGTAAATGCTCGAGAAATCATTGCGCATCAATCAGACAATGATAAACTTGGAGAAAATGATGTAATCGTAGACCGAATCAAATTGAATTATGCCAAGAAAAATGAGAATCCCGTTGATTGTGTTAAATTTTACAATCAATATGAAATCGATAAAGGTCAGTAGTTTTTCAGTTACATTAACGTGTATCATTTTTTTTTCATCATTTATTAATTGTTTAATTTGTTAAATAATTCATAGCTTTCTATTTGGATAAGTCACAAGTGAGTTATCTAGTTCCGGAACAATACGAAGAAACTATTATCCGAATTTTTACTAGGGACGATTCAAAAGTAAGTCTACTCTGTAAAACATATACATACGATAATAATAAGTTGATTTAATTCTTTTTATATTATGTAGAGGAAAGCAGTTCAGGAAAGTTTTCGAAAATTATTGAACGTTTACGATTCAGATAATGACGATCCAAATTCTAGTGGAAGTGTAGGTTACACATTACCTAAGGAATTTAGTTCTCCTCCTAAAAAACGTCCAAAATATCGAGCTAAAGCATAGAACGTTTGATATATATATATATATATATTTTTAACAAATTTTTTTTATCTATTTGAATACCAATACTTATTTCCTTTATGATAAATTTTTAAAGGCTTGTTTTAAAGGGTCTATATACATATATATATATATATATATACATATTAAATTAAAGTTATATGGAATATTTAATATACTTTTTACTTTTTGACTCAAATAAATGCACCGTTTTTTGATTGAATGCAATGATCCTTAATAGAGATAAATCTATCATCCTTAAAGATGGTTAACCTTTTTTTTTTTTAAAAGATTTCAAATGATGAATTGTAACACTGCATCGAGAGATCCCGAAAAAGAGAACTGTTATACATCAAAATTGAAAAATGAGAGAGAATGTCCTTTGAAATGAAGAATCTAGATTAAAGAAAATTAAGAGAGTTGAGGATAGAAAATACATGATTTATAATTCCATCCAACGTATTAAATTGGATCATATTTTTTTATAGGTTCAGCATCTACTCGACGGCACGCAATCTCTACTAGTACAAGAAAATAGTGAAACCTTTATCTATAGGCATCTCACATAAATCAGACTGCTGAGTAGCATCAACTTTCCATCTTTCCATATCAGTACTAGGGACGCTCTGATCAAGAAAGTGTAATTATATGGGGTTTCTTTATATAAAATGGGCTTTTTGGCCCCGTTAGGGAAGAATTACTGCGGAGGTATAATAAATATGCTAACCATATTATACATAAGATTATTTCTCTATTGCGGAGCACATATTTTGGTCTTGAGTTTTAAATTGTCAATGATGTCACTTGGAATAATTTGACATTTTGACCATATTTAGAAATTCAATAAAACTAACAATTAAGGTTAATACTTAAAGATGATTAATATAATCAAATCGTCATATATGGAGGCGGCCCGGGAAAAATTCCTCCAAATTTGGAAAAACTTGTAACACGGCACGTTCTCTTATTTATTGACCTGATTTAGTTTTAATAAAATTTTTTTTTTTTTTCCGAAAATGTCGTCAAATAACGACTCGCCCGACGACATTGTTGTTGCAAAGGTAAGTAAATTCCTCACTTCTTTATTGCCTAAGCAACAAAAAAAAGTCAAATTAAATATACACGCGTTATCCTCACTTTTTCACATTCTCACCTTGCAAACATTAGTTTAACGCCCGGTGGATATCTTATTCTCACACACTTTTTGCTTATGGTAAGTATCAAACTTTCCGATTTTATATTTATCAACTAATTGACGAAATTTTTTTATCGATAGTTGCATTTTTCTCGGCATTGGTTACTGGATGCTCGACGCATTATTATCAAATTGTAAAAAATGAACACGGGGGGTATCCAGAGGTACATTAATTTTGTTGGTTCCTTTCTGATGTCATTATAAGTCATAAATAATACTTGATATTTTTAAATCGCATAGGAATGGTTTCCAAGTGTTAGTGCAGCTACTGGAGATTGGTACCCAGCTCGTTCAATTTTTCAAATTTTTATAGCGGTTGCAGCGGGTACAGATTATTCTTTACCTTTTGAATTATCAAGAATTTTCTAATCACTAATACCGATCTTATAAATTTTTTAGGACCGCGTTTTCTATTAATATACTTATTTTATCTTATTACTGACAAGCCAAATCTTACTTATCCTAAAATCCATGCTATTATTGGTGTAATACGCGCTTTTTCTTGTGGTGGATGGGTTTATATAACCTCATCGGATGATCATTATGTTCATGACATTGCGATGATTGTGTATTTGGTGACAACCTTACCTTGGATGTTGGGTACTTTGGCCATAGGTCCCGATAATAAGCAAGCGTCAAAATGGAGAAAGTTAACCGCCATTGCATTTTTTGGAACTCTGGTCCCGATGTTTTATTTTTATTTTCAACATAAAGTACATCGTGTCGTTGGTGGTAAATAAATCTTTTTGTTAGCGAATTGATGATTTTTATGTGATAATATAATTAATTTTATAAATTACTATTTGATCGTTAGCTTACACTACATACGCGTTTTTCGAATGGTCTTTGATTTTATACGATATTGCTTTTGATGCTTTAAGCTTATTCGACTTTAATTCCATCGAATTAAGAATCGTTAATATCAATCCAAAGGAAGGGTACGAATATGAATTCTACATTATTTGTTTTATCGCATCTCATTGATTTCAAATACTTTGATACAGGGTTATAAATGTTACCACAGAAAAGTCCGAAAAGTTCAAGTATGTATTAATACTTTCACTGGGTAAATTTAAATTATGGATATTAATAAATATTATTTCATCATAGGGAATTTTCTAGGAGAATCGAACCTATATTTGAAATTAGTTTTTGGAGTAATCTAAGAGGATTTTTAGTTGATACATATCTTGGTATATTTAAGTTAATATTGTTCGTGATTGATCTATTTATTCTTAACCAAAATTTGACCTTTTTTTTTTTAAAAAAAAAAAGCTTTTATGTATTGGTCAATGTTGACGTCACTTGCATTGACGATTTGGTATTTCCCACTTTGGTATATGGGAATATCAGGGTTTGAGTCTTTCTTGCTTGTAACCATAGCGCCATCATTGCTTGGGATTGGTTTTATCCGTAAATTAATCAATTTGAATCATGGCGTATTCCACCTTTTATCGCTTGTTGGTATAGCAGCATATTTATTCACTGATCCAGTTCAACGCCTTATAGTTGTTTCGACAGGTGTTGCTATCGCAACTGTAACTTGGACTTCCATGTGGATTGAAAATAGGAATAGTGCCGGCCAACTAGAACGATATGCTCTCACTTGGTGTTTGGGCTTGATTTTAAGTAACGTCGTAAAAATGGCTTGGTGGACTAATAATCCAATATGGCCAATTATGCATAAGGAAAATGGTGGATGGAATCACATTGGGCTTTTCTTCGGAGTCTTTGCCTCATTAGACGTTATGTTACGTAAAAATGGAGAGAAAACGCAAATTAATTATTATGAACAAATAACAGTTTCTGGATCTTGGTTTATGGCAGCTTCTGGATTTGGTTCACTTCTTTTTGCGCTTCATTCTTTACTCACTGACAGCTCTACAATTATACGTTGGGTTTATGATGGATACCCAAATACTGGCCCACATCCTATTCCTTGGGGTGTCGTCACTATTGTTGCAATGTCCCTTGGATTATTTCTTTCACCTTACAAGAAGATAGTTATTAGTAAACCTTGGTATGTTATTGGGTGCGTTTCTTGTGCATATATGTATTACTATCCCGCATGGAATGGATATTATGGTGGACTTGTACTTACTGTTTACTTGATGTCATTGGTGCCTACATTTATTGGAATCGTTGTTCAACATCCTCCCGGAAGAACTTTTCTTACAGCGATGATGATATATAATATCTTTTGTTTGGCACATGTGTGGGTTGTAGCTTACGCTTTTGTCCCTGCTGGTGAATACATGAGAGAACACACCGATTATGTGTTATTTGCTATGATGACTTTTATTGGACTTGGTATCAGAAATGCTTCTACCAATTATACATTTAAACATTTACAATTAAATTCGTTACATTTAAATCGTTCGTTAACGAGAGGGGGATTGGCGATAATGATTTTATTAGGATGTTTGGTTTCCTTTTCTCGTCTTCCATTTGAAACACCTACACCTTATCATCCAGAACAAAAAATTTTTACAGCTGGTATTTGGACAATTCATTTTGCACTTGATAATGATATGTGGGCTAGTGAGGTTAGAATGAGAGACGTTATTAAAGAATTAGAACTCGATGTTATAGGTTAGTTTTTTTATATAAAATTTTTTTTATTATTATTATTAACTACTCATATTAAGAAATAATTAATTTAAATTAAAATAAAGGTTTATTGGAATCAGATACTGGGCGTATCATGATGGGAAATCGTGACTTTACACAGTTCCTTGCTGAGGATCTCAACATGTATTCCGATTATGGGCCAGGTCCCTCAAAACATACATGGGGATGTGCTATGCTTTCGAAATTCCCTATCCTTGCATCGAGACATTATCTTCTTCCATCACCTGTAGGAGAACTTGCTTGCGCGATTCATGCAACTCTGGATGTTTATGGACAGAAAGTTGATGTGATTGTCAGTCATAATGGGCAAGAAGAAGATGAACTTGATCGTAAATTACAAACGGAAGAATTGGCGCGTATTATGAGAGAAAGTGAAAATCCTATTGTATTTTTAGGATACGTTGTAACTACCACGACGGATGAAATTTACTCTATCCTTATAAATGATGGTAATGTTTTCGATATAGATGAGACAGATTATGATCGATGGTGTGAATACATAGCCTATAGAGGAGTCAAACGGATAGGGTATGCCAGAGTAAGTCATGGACGTATAACTGATACGGAAATTCAATTGGGCAAATTCCAAATTGTTGAAAATTATAATCCCAAAACTTGGCAAGCAAGTGAGAAACGGGTTAAAGAAAATAAAATTGACAAGAGATTAAGATTTCCCGAACAATTTAAAGGTGAAGGGGTTCGTGGTCATCGATATCACGTATTTGATGAACCTCGATATTATAATTAAATGTTAATAGATAATACACACGCGTAATCTTAAAACTGGAAATGACAATTATTTACTTTTTAGGAATCTTGTAATCCAACTCTCTAGTAATTAATATTATTTATGGTGACGATATATAAGTTTATTGTCTCTTTGTAATGTTAATGTAATCGTAAATGTTTAAAATTTGTTGACGTAAGTTGACATAATACATAAATAAATTAATTTTAAAAATTTATCAGTATCTCCTCGACACTTAAAAAACATGACGCATAAATGTCGTACATGAAAGTGTATTATTATTCTCTTAAAACTTTGAAATATCTCTACCGAACATATATCGCTATTTACACACATAAATAAATATAAATATAAAATGTTAATGTAAAGTTAGCGAAAAAGATAAACCAAGTTTTCATCTTAATTACCTTTGACCAATCTAAAGCCAGTAAAGCTCTTGTTCTAAGAGAAACTTGTTCACTGAAATACACACTTCTCCATAAATAAACAGCGGATAAACCTCCCATCCAAGTCCATCCCATACCAAAATCAGCTACGGCAGCATTACCGACATAAGCAAGTGATCCCAGATGTGCGTACGAAAATGGTGGTAATCGATCATTGATATCAGGATTTTCAGTTTCATCTGAATAATCCGATGAGAATGGAAGCGTGTTTGTTTTGTGCGCTAAAGCTATTTGATTTAGGTTTTTACCTAAATATTTACCTTGCTGATGAGCTACTTGCGCAGTCTTGTCAATAAAATTAGACGAATTAGTAACATCTTACTAACTTATAAACACATAAAATTAGAAACATCATACCGCTGGTAATGATGTCAGTTTTTTGTCAATATCTTCAAACATGACACGCAATTCTTCCAACTCAAGTGTACCTAATAAATAAAATAAAAAAAGTAAATCTTTAGTAATATTTTTTAAAGTATTTCAAGTACTCTTTTAGGCATACCGCTCTTATCTTTGTCATAGCGTGCAAAAAGAGTGTCGGCCTTTTTCAAATAACTTTTTGTTATAGGATATCGTCTGCCGATTTTTTTTGCTAAAGCATGAAATTCATCGTAACTCAAATATCCACTTTTATCAACATCACCATCAACAAAAAACTGCATCAAATTTTGAACTAATTTTGGATTTTCGACAGTTGAACAATCTCCTATTGCATACACTGAGGAATCAGATATTCCCTTAAGACGAAGTCTATTATCTGTAATAAGTGCACGTGTATTTTTCTGGGCTTCTAATTTTTCTGATATTGACTTTGTCAATGGGTTCATGGCTATACAGAATAAAATCATTATTATGGTTACCAATAATTTTTTTAAATAAAAAAAATTTTTTATCCAAATAATTATACAGCATATATTTACCAATTCCAGTAGACCATAAAACTAATCCATAATCGAGTTCTTTTACCTCACCGTCACTCTTCAGTTTATATACAATATGATTGGGTTCTACTTTTTGAACTCTCGCATTCGTTATGATATTAATATGATCACGTCTAAATTTTTTCTTTTAGAATAATAAACTTTAATTATGATTAGATGATTTTATTATTCAAAATAGATCTTAATAAAAATATATGTACCTCAGCAAAGTCACTAATTTTCGCGTCATACGTATTTAAAATATGGTCTTGACTTTGAATGATGCTAACTTTCACTTCATTCCTAAGGACTGATGGAAACTGCTAGAAGGTGAAAAATGGATATTTCCTCTACGAACCTTTTTTTCCTTTTCATTTTTATGCCAATTTATAATCATTATAAGATGTGAACAAACTCACGTATTTAACCATATCTTCGGTTAGAAAATCATATAATTCTGCTGCGAATTCAACACCTATAAATACAAAAATTTTATTAAAAAAAATGTGTCATAGTTCTTGGTTCTCCCCAAAAATTCAAAATATGTTACCGGTGGGTCCTTTATTTAATAAATTTTAAGAAAAAAAAAAAAAAAGAAGGTTAAGAAAACAAAACATTTTCAACTACAAACTTCAATGATTACCAAACTTACCGCCTCCGCAAACAACAAAACTTAAAAGACGTTTCCTTTCTTCGGGCGATGTTGTTGGTAAAGCTGCTTTTTCGAAATTATCCATAATTGTTTTCCTGATCCTACGGGCATCATTTATCGTTTTCAAAAAATGACAATGTTCAATACCCTCAATTCCATAAGTCATCGATAAAGAACCTACGGCAATTACGAGCTGCAAGAAAAGATCAATGAATGTTAAAAATGATAAGCAAACATTCGATTTTAAATTATTACCTTATCATACGGAATGTAAAATGGTTCGCTCGATTCATCATTTGGAACAACTTCGACCAATTTTTCGTTAAAACAAATATCCGAAGCTTTGGCCTCAAGAAAATGTGCCGATATGCCTCTAATAATACATCGGATAGGTTCTAAGAGTGATCTATACAATTAAAAAAAAAAGTAAATATAGGTATCGAAATGATAGCTGCATTTTATAGTTACTAAATATACCTAGTTTCAAGTGTGCCTACAGTCGCAGAGGGAAGAAGCGGCCTAATAATATGATTTTAGTATATAGTATATGATATTAACTACTCAAACCAACGAAAAACTCACGTGAAAAGAAAATAATTTCTACATAAAAGGGATCAAAATTTAGTTAAGGTTAAAAAAAATCATTACGAAACGGTAAAATAAAATGTAATTTAAGAGTGAAGGACATCTACTGCGGTGATATAACTGTAACATGATACTGGTCTTTCTCCAATTCATTAATGACTGATACAGCCTAAAATTAAGAAGCAATCAATTTATGGACATCAATTCGGTTTTTTCTTTTTTTCTTTATACCTACCCCCCACCCGGAACCAAGAATAACTATACGCATTTTCTTTGCTTCATAATCTTTGTCATCTGTCAAATGAGTAGCAATTGGCAAATTTTTCGGACCACCTCTTTCAAAGGTACTTGGGAATTCTTTGATTTCATGATCTTGAACTTTGGCTTCTGCATGTTTATGATCGAGAATTACAATAACGGTAGCTGCTCCTATAATTAGAGAGGTCGCAATTACAATTTTTTTTTTAAATTTGGATTTTGTTACGATTTCCTCGGTATTAGCGGTTGACGCGAATTTTCGTGAAATATGACGAAAATTTATTGGATATTTATGTATAGAATTCGAAATCGCGTTTGAAACACGACCCAAAGTAGATAAGTTCGCCTGTCGAGTTTGACCCAAGAAAAGTAGTCTGTGCTTTAAATATACAGTTTTATGACTTGACGTCAGTTGGTTGTAGGAACATTGCTTCCTTAAGGGTGCAAATTTGGCAAAATTTCGCAACATTATAACTGAAGTTCGTCTTTGCTGCAATCAAAAAATCTTTCTGTAGATCAGTTCCACATTTATTTATTCAGAAAAATTATGTCACAATGACGCAGTAAAACAGTTAAAAGTCCTTAATATGTTTTTTTTTTTTAGTAATTTTGTAACGAAGTGATATTTATATATTTTAAAAATTAATTCTCTGATTTTAACGGAATCAATCAATATCCGGCTTCGTGAATATTTTTATTTGACAAATGTCACCATGTATTGCTCACTTCGTGATTCTATTTCTTGTAATATCAAAAATTGTCTTTTAAAAGTTTTTCAATTAATATAAAAGCGAGAAGAAACTATTTATTGTAAGTGTCGATAAAAAAAATTTTAGAGCTGAGACTCGTTGTCGTTATCGCTTTTGAACAAAATAAACTAAATAAATAGGTTTTACTAAAGTGACTAAGTAATCGGTAATGAAATTTACAAGAAGCAGTCTTTTCGTATTAGCTCAGAGATTCAAGTTTTACTAAGAAATACTTGAGCGATAACCAAATGTCAATTCTTGATATTTCACGTGAGCACTAAAGATAACCTTTTTCCTTAAAATGGTGAATTAAAATGATTTTCCAAAAATGGAATCTCGAAACGTGGTTTTGCATTATAAAAGTTAGTCTATTATCGGCATTATCAATTGCCTTTCTAATTAATAACGCATTTAAAATTTTTATTGATCATATACAAAATAAATAACTTTTTTTTTTCAAATGCCAAGTATTATACAATGAAAAAATCATTTGTAAACTTTTGATTGTCTCATGGAGTATTACAAACTAGGCAAATAACCAAATCTTTCTTTTTCATAATATTTAGCAATTAAGAAAGCAACGTCTAAACTTTGTTCATAATTTAAACGAGGATCACAAGAAGTTTTATAATTCAAAGATAAATCTGCATCGGCTAATTGCATTGAACCACCAATACATTCTGTTACACCTTCACCTGTTAGTTCAAAGTGTACTCCATTCATTTGACTATTATTGGCTTTATGAATATGTATCGCTTTTGATAGTTCCTTTTTTAAGAAAAAAGATAGATAGAAAGAGAAAAGAGCAAATTAGCATAGAACGAGGGATTAAGATAAAACACGCGAGATTGACGCATAAAATATTACCTCAATTATTGAATTGAAATGTCTTGTTTTTACACCAGATAACGATTGTTTTGTGCTATAGATAAAAACAAAAGCGCGTTAATGAAATAAATTTCTGATGGTCCAGCTTGGAAATTTAGCTAAACAGTGCTTACTTTCCGTGCATCGGATCACACGCCCAAACGACGATATGTCCTGATTCCTTGACAGCTTGAATGTGAAACGGTAAATATTTTTCAACTTGATGAGCTCCATAACGCGTAATTAAAGTAACTTTTCCAATTTCTTTATTAGGATTAACAATATCCAACAAATTTTGCAATTCATCAGGTTTCATGGATGGTCCAACTTTAATTCCAATAGGATTTTGAATTCCTCTAAAATATTCCACATGGGCTTCATTTAATTGGCGTGTACGATCACCAATCCATAAGAAATGAGTTCCAACATTGTACCATTTTTTTTCCCCAGTTTCGGGATCAGGTAATAACCTTGTTAAACATTGTTCATAGTCCAATAATAATCCTTCGTGCGACATAAACAAGTCAACACTATTTAGTGAGTTTGAGATCGGTGAAAATGAAGTATTGGCTCCAATCGTACGCATGAAGTTTAAAGAATCGGTTAAACGATCAACTATCGTTTGATATTCTTGTCGAGTTCCATTTGATCGAACATGATGTAAAGACCATTCCGATGGTCGATTTAGATCGGCAAACCCTGATCCTATGAGCGATCTTACATAATTTAATGTGGCAGCAGAATGAAAATACGCGCTAATTATAAAAATTGATAAATGATTAATTAATTTCAAGGACATGTTTCATAAAACTTTGCGTGATTTACATTACTTACCTTAAAAGACGTTCTGGATTGGGCTTTCTATCAGATGGATCGTAGCCATTAACATTATCACCGCGAAAGGAAGGGACCTCTTTACCTTCAACTTTTTCTGTCGGACTTGAGCGAGGTTTAGCATATTGACCAGCCATTCTAGCAATTCTAACGACAGGAATTCTGGCGCCCCAAACCAATACCAAACTCATTTGTAATAGTACTTTTAACTTTGACTCGATTGAATCTTGAGAACAATATTCAAAACGTTCCGCACAATCTCCGCCTTGTAATAAAAAAGCCTTATTAAGCGCAACTTGTTTAAGTTGATTTCGAAGGTTATGAATCTATAAAGATTCAATTATGATTAATCCTTTAAAAAAGATAATTTTGCTTCAAAGAAAAAGACAAAATACCTCTGTGGGCGTAACCATTGGGGGTAAATGTTGTAAACTATTCGAGACCCGTTGTAGATGTTCTTTATCTTCATAAACAACAGCTTGCTTTATTGTTTTTGTTCTCCATGATGATGGTGACCATTCTTTATCTTCGATTGTATGCTTTCCGTTCGTGAAACCATTATTTTCATTCGTTTCTTTTATTTCTCTTGATATTTCGGTTTTTACAATTTTATTAATATGACCATTCGTGGCCGTGCCATTCATAATAGAATTCCCGGGTGACATTTTTTATTAAAATAAAAAAGTTTTTTGCTTCTATAAAATTTTGATCAATCTTTTTTATATTCAAAAAATCGAATTGATTTGATTTATAAGATTAATTAATGTTATATATTTCGTTTCTATATAAGGAAAAGCCATTGTATTTTTCATACTATTCATAGACATTCAATGACTCATGAACTATCATATATTGTACTTTTTTTTTTAGTAAATTCCATGTGGCTTAATGGGGTGGTGGCTGTGAACAATTTCACGATTTGCAAGTACGTGATTTTTGTGATTTGATGTGATTTATTTATTTGGTGTTATCTTGATTAGATTATCGACATTTTTTTTTTTTACCTTTTTGCGAAATAAAAAGAAAAATATATCACAAACAAACATTAAATTAAACAAATACTTCAAATGATAAGTCATTCTTATCATTTAAACCGAGGATTTAGTATTATTGGTAATAATGCAAAGCGATGCATTTATTATCATTATTTCACAGCCTCGAGAAATTTCAATTATAGAAGGTTGTTACATACTAAGCTAATGCCAAATATTTTACCAGTTAGAAATTTCTCGAGAGGTACGTCAACAACAACAACATCAACAACTTCTGAGGGTACGCCAACTGTAATTGACACGAACTTCAAACAAAGTTCCTTGAACAATCACACATTTGGATCTTCAATAAGTTTTAATAATAAAGTAGATATTATACAATTTGTTCATTTACTCAAAAATGAGGATTTGAATACGGTAAAATTATTCTTATCAACACACAATTACTGTACAACAATCATCAATACATTAGAATTCAAAGATTATTTATTGGAACACCTGAGTTCTTCCACCGCATTTGACATGGAATTATTTAACAAAGCAAACGGCATTTTATATGACCATCTTATTCAATTGACAGACATAAAGACGCAAGATCTAGTGAAATTTAACGAAGAATACATACAAGCTTCTTTAAAACATAACCTTCATAGAACAGATCCACAAGTACTAAATTTATATAATGAACTATCATGTAAAGGTAAATCGCTTTGTCCAAATCTCGATTTATTTTGCATATACTTTTTATCAACCATAATATCTAGGAATTTTGAATTAACACCACCTAAAAGAGAGGTTCCATCTAGTACCGAAATAACCGAACCTCCTCTTATTAGTATTAATAGAGAACATTTAGACACATTTTTGAAAGCATTGAAGAAAGGGGATGTAGAAGGTGCGAAGACTCTTTTATCCGTAAATAATTACGCCACGACAATTCATGATACATTAGAATTTAGTGATTCTTTAAGGCATCATATAGATTCAAATCATGAATTATATCATGCATCAGATAGGTTCTTAAAAGAACATTTGAAAAACGTTCTTGTTCCCAACGGGAATACGCAAGAATTAATAAAACTTACCGAAGAATATAATCAATATTCTTTAAAGTATTATTTAAAGAAATCACATCCACAACAAGTCCTTTCCATGTACGAAGGTTTACTACAAAAGGAAAATTTCAAACTTTCCTACGAATATAAGCTCGTAATATTCTGTGCATATATTAAATTAAATGATGGCAATTCAGCTTTAAGATTCTTCATTTCCGATATTTCATCGTCACCGGAATTTTCTCTTCCAACTTTTACAAAGAGTATTCAATCACTGTCGAATGAATTAGAATATAACAAAGTTCAAGAAATCTTACGTTGTCATTATATTCAAAAACTTTCACCAAATTCCGAAGAATTCACGAATTATATAAAACGATTATTCTCTTATAAAACCTTAACCACAACAAATTCAGCATTAAACCTTTATCAAAAACTTTGTGATCTCGAAGTGAAACTGAATTCAATTACATACGGAGCATTTATAATGGGATTTTTATCACATGATAAATACACTGAAGCCGAATTCATTTATAATGACATGATCAAAAGAGGACAAAAACCTACACAAGTGATATATAATGGGATGCTTGATGGATTTTCAAGAAGGCGTAATGTTAAGAAGATTTATGAAATTTGGCAACAAATGTTGGATGACAAAATCAAACCTGACGAAATCGCTTATTGTGCTATGATGGAAACCTATTTTAAAACTGGGGAAAGTCGTAAAGCGATTGAAATATTTCAACAAATGTCTTTAGATCCAAAAATCAAATTAAATGAAATCATTTATAATCGGGTGATTGATGGATTATTATCAAATAATCGAGTAGATGAAGCGATTATGGTTTATAATCAAATGAAAAATCAAAAGATTACCCCTAATATAGTTACTTATAATACTTTAATTAATAAATTACTTGATAAGAAGAAAGAACAATTTGCGATGAAAGTTTTACAAGACATGCAACAATTTAATATTACACCTGATGTTACAACTTTAACAACTATTTTAAAGAGGCAATTTCAAAATCGGGACGTTAAAGGGGTGCAAAATGTTTTAAACATGTTTGATTCCATGAAGATTCGACCAAATACAAAAACTTATGGTACTCTTATTAATGGTTTAGTAAATTATTACGAAAAATAAATAGGAATTGCCTTATTTTTCTTAAAGTTTCTCAAGATTTTAAGATTTGATTGATATTCAATTGTCTTGATCTCCATTGTTCTATTATTTGACAAAGTCTTTTCAGCTCAGGATTTTCAGGAATAAATTCCGCACTTATCATATTATCATAGATTTGAGAAGCGCCCAACATATTTTTAGAAGTAATGAAACCATTGATTAAAGCTTTATAAGTGTTATCGGATGGGTTCAACCCAAAACCGATCATTCTCTCATAATATTGTATTGCTTTATCCATCTGATTAGCTCTAGAATAACCTCCAATAAATAAATTAAAAGTTGCGGTCGTGGGAACATAATTACTTTGTAATAAATTCGAATATAATTGTTCAGCCAATGGAAATTTTCCATGATTAATATACGCTTGTATCATATTGGAATAAATTTGAATGGTTGGAGACAATCCACGCTTATACATCATCTCATTAAAAGCCATTTCGGCACCAGCCAAGTCATTAAAATAATTTACTAAACCATTAATAAGAGTACCATAAGTTTTTGTATTTGGTCGAATCTTCATGGAATCAAACATGTTT